AAGATAAAATGCAGCATCTACCTCTTTCAGCCTGGTTTTCCCTCCAGTTTTGTTCTCATATAAATAAACAGTCAATTTCTCCCGAACAAACAGAAACACACATTCCTCATCCCTCTCCAAGGTCCCTGTCATTACCAAGCCCGAGGAAACTTTTGAAGACATTCAAAGACATGAAAGATTAAAGATGTATTTGTTCTTTTGAAGTTCCCACACTGTTTTTGTCTTATTTCTTTGCCAAATGCAGCTTTGTAGTGGTGTGTTTGCTGTGTGCTTGGTGCTGACCCAGAACTGCCAGAGAGAGGTTGTTGGCCCGATGGCCCCGCTCTTGTTTCAAAACTCCCCCTAATGAGGATTCGCTCAGTAATGGCGTTGCTTCCTTGTAACCTCAAAGGACGGACGGTTTACTTGCTTGAATTCCAAATGTTATTTATATTTATTGGGATGTAAAATTCGAAGAAGGAAGCCGAATATTAGACTGGTACATCTGGCTGGCTTTGTTCTGTAGCATCTTTTTATAGTCTGGTATGCTTCAAATCCCATCATTTATAGATTATCTTTCCCAATCCTTTATCTATATTAACTCATGCGCTTTTGTTCAATTGTGTTGATTTGATTAAGGGACTATGCACTTATTGTTTTGTACATCTGGTGTCTTTTTCATCTCTTTCTTTCCATTGATATGCATCAATGATTGCATGCAAACTTTCACCTTTTCTCACATTTGGTTTCCCTTTTTAGATTTAAAAGTCACACATGAGTTACACTGCTCTGATCCGATGCTTGGATTTCAATTAAACTTCGGATTCTAATAAGAGCTCATTGTTCTTGTTTTTATTAGCTTCTCTATCTCCCTGGATTCTTCAGGCATATCTCAGTTTGCCTTGCATCAGTGCATCTCTCTGCTCAAATCCTGGAGTGCCAGCGGAGAATCATACTGCCCCCTAGTGTCCACAGACATTAGGAACACAACAGAATTGATTGTGCAGCCATCAAGCAGACAACATGGTATTCTGCCAGTGGCTCGATACCAAGATCTGTCATGGGCAGCAATGCACAACAATAGATTCTACTGATTGGAGTGGTGCACACTCCTGGCTATGACACTAGCCTACCGCTCGCTATTGAATGGCTGTTTTTCTCTCTCTTCAGCCACAAGTCCACTAATTTAGCAATCAATGCTACTCATTTGAATAGCACCTCTGCTGTTGCCCCGAGGAGAGAAGAGGATAAATCAGGGTGAGCCGGTGTCAAATCATCTCTCTGAGGGGAAGACCGCAATCATGGCTCTGATGGATCTCTGAAAATGACTGAACATGCTAAAGTGTTGCAGAGTAGGGAAACCATGATGGGCTTTGTTTTACTGGAACCAGTTGCACAAAGTTCTTAAAGCGTAAGAAAAGAAAAGTCCAGATTTATACCAAACCAGAACCAAAGACAACCATGCAAATGATAGATTTAGTGTAGTACTGAAACTTGATGATACAGAGAGTATAATATCAAAAGCACATTCGTAAGAGACCAGACTGATTTTGACCTTCAGCAGCATTTTCATCACATACATTAAAATAAAATCTTGTTCCCAGCATCCTATGTTCTGTTTTTAGCTATCATATACTTTGCCTTTCTAGCTCTTAGATGCAATGTGAGCTCAAACAGCCATAGGCTCCTCTGCAGACATCCTAAGTAAGTGCTCCAAATGACAAGTCAGACTAAATACCCTGTAACAAACGATACAAGACTGCAGAAAGCGCTTTAACAAAAGAGGAATGTAATGAGACCAAGGTGCCTTCTCCCCAATACATCATCCTGAGTGAATTTGCCAACATCACTCTCTTTACCTCCAAGCATGGTAAATGAGAATGTATGCCCCCGCTACTTTGTCATTCTTTACTTTTTTTTACCCCAATGAGGTAGCCATGCCAAGCGAGACAAATATTTCCACCAAAGGCAATATCCCCTCGCAGTAATTATATCAGAGTGAGAGAATGGCTCATTAACATATGCTAGGCATGTCAGGAATTTACAAGCGCCTTTTGTAGATGCCTCTCGTCAGTGTGCTGCTCCCATCCGTATGGTGTCTCCTTTGAGGATGCAACCTCCTCATTTCCATAGACGTCAATCAAGATGAGCGTGGTTTTTAAGAATATTCTGTACAAAAACACAGGGCTCTCTGAATGTTGCAATCATAGGGGACAGCTGAGTGATATGGGAAAAGTGTTTCTTGATGAAAACAAAGCGATGGGGGCAGAATTGTCTTGATGATGTGTCATCAATGAGGAGTGGGTGGCAGGATTTGTATTAGCTTATCTGCCTGTCTATGTGTGAATCCATGCTCTGGACACCAGACAGACAGACAGACAGACAGACAGACAGACAGACAGACAGACAGACAGACAGACAGACAGACAGACAGACAGACAGACAGACAGACAGACAGATCCCGGGGCCTCGGAGCTTCTGATGCTCCACGGCTCCAGGACTCAACATCTGCCCGTACAGTTGGCCTTTCACCCATTAATATGGTGCCAGCAGAATGCAATGACCTAATTATCAGACATGTTCATAAACAATTAGAGAGTTTCTTGAATATTTATTGAAATGATGTACCATTTTATGGTAAAAATGTACCCTAGAACAAAACAGTGTCTGTGTAATCTTAGTCATGGTTGTTAAATCTTTAAAAAGTGTAAATGTAGATAGTAGAATGCAGCTCTCTTCCTGTTGCTGGAGGCAGGAGAGCAAAGTCTAAGAAACCAGGCAACATTTCCCTGTGAAATTCTGTGTATCTAAAATAGACCAGCGTTGAATTTAATGAGCAATATGATGGTACCTAGTGTCATTATTCAGGGCTAATGTAACATTTTTTGAAAAACGTGACTCTTCCTAACTGACATCAGTGGGAGAGAGGGTTTATTATATAATTTCACAAATCTAAGTGTGTTGTCAAATCCTCAATTAATGTTCTGTACATTGTTAACGAAAGGACATGATTCCTATTTTTCGGAGGAGCATTGATGTGCTGCAATTTTGAAAATATACATTTTAGTATTGTCAATTTTTTGTTATAGTTATTGAAAATAAAGTCCATAGTATATAGGGCAAATGCATACGCTCAGTGGCTCTGACTGCTTCTCTTCTGTCTGCCTGACCCCCAGGGTTTGTCCACTAAGCACAGCAACACTGACTGGTGTGCGTTTTAGTTCCACCACACTGACTTGGCCCAATGCCATCATCCTTTAATTGACAGTAAACTAACTCAGCTGACTGGAAAAAGGAATTTGTGCTTTGCAGAAAACTAAAACACATCTACTTAAGCAGATGGCAGCCTCACTTTAGTTTGTTTGGGCTGTAAATGGACAGCAGCTTTGAAATTGACTTTTTTTAAATGAACACGGTAAGTGAAAATGAACTAAAGAAATTACTGAAAAAGTATATGGATTCATTGGCTAGAAGTGAAAAAAGTGAGAGTCTAACAGAAAGCTGACAAAGTGAGATGGAGACGGAGAGAAAAGTCATTTTGTGTCTGAATGAGTCTGGTCTTTTGCCCCAGAAAATGTCACTGCAATGACTGAAGACCCAATGTCCATTTCCATCACCAACCACTCTCCCTATCTCTCTCGTTCTTTCTCATTCATTGTCATTCCCTTTTCCTTTTAAGTGCACTTTCACCCACACCACTTGGAAATTGATTGAAACAAAATGTCACAATTATGCCCTGTAGCTCGCCGCTTCAATTATTCATCAATTAGGGGCTAGGCTCTTTTTTTTCTCTCCTCTGAGCTGATTTTTCATTCAGTTTGCTCGAGATGTATGGCTCCCCTGCTGTTAACCAGTCCAAAGTCATTAGTTTCTGGGTTTGCAATTAAACCTGATGCCTTATGCATGAGGCTCCGACTCAGTAGACACACGCAGCAGCGGCGGCCGCAGCAGCAGCCAGCGAACGAGCTAGCAAGCTCTGGAGGCGTGGATGGGAAATTAATTTGCTAGAAATGAAGTTCTCTCTTTCCCTCCCCCCTCTCTCTATCTCTCTCTTGTCTGGCAGGTTGGAACAGATGCCACTGGCTGGAAATGGAGGTGGAGATAGAGATGGGGCATCTATGGAGTCACAGTACAGCTTGATCAGCACTGACTGATAAGATCTCACTAGATTTACATTGAGACATTACATTCACACCAGTTTATTAGTTATACTTAGCTACAACTAATTCAGTCGAATACAACAGACCTGCAATAAATCATACCCTTATGGATGCTATATTGTTCGGTCGTTCTGTTTTAGAGAGGAGTTGAATCAGCTTTTTGATCATTTTGGAGTATTTATTGTGCTGTAAAACTGTATTGATATACAGAGAGGTGTTTCTATTTTTTTGCCTACACATATTGATATAAATTAGGGCAGACACAATAACACAAACACCTACTACAAGCAACTCAAAATATAATACATTAATATGAATTTGAATGGTCAAACTTCATGTAGGTTAATGTTGAACAATCATGGTGGAAGAACCTTCAGAGTCACCAGTTATGTTTCATTTCTGCACTGACCTTTCAACGTTGACAAACAAAGCCGTAGTTTATACAGGTTTTTAAAGTTTTGTGAGTAGTACACAATAGTAAGCAAAATCACCATATCCAGCTGGGGCAGTGTTTACTCTGTAATTAGGAATTGTATGCAATGCAGGATTGTTTATCTACATCTCTCAAAGTGTGTATTACACTGAAGCAGGATCAGACCAGGCATTTTTCAATGATCATTGGCTGCCACCTAGTGACCACAGAGGCAAATAGCATCTGTGAGAAGTTTATGGACAAGAAAGTATACCCTGGAAACTATATTAATACACTTTACATCTAACTACTACCAGAATGTGTTTTCTTGAAGAGTTCTGCTGTGAAATGGGTGATTTCAACAGATATGTGTCCACAGTTTAAGTTTCTAAAAAAACGAGATGGGATAGTGCTTTAGATCATGAATTGTACAATTGTAATAGTTTTATTTATTTTCTAGCAACACCATAGTAGGAATGTCCCTCCGTATTGAAGCACTTGTATGAACAAAGAAAGGCGCGCACTGGAATGGTCTTTGAACTCCTAATTTTCGTCTCCTGTTACATAAAACAAGACAATCAATAGTGGAATATTAATGAGTACATTTAGAACTGTGCCGTACTAAAAATGAGAAGAACTTTAATTTTACTTAAGCATTTCTATTTTATGCTACTTTAAACTTCGTCTCCAGGACTTATCAGAGGGAAGAATTTACTTTTTTATTTCACTTAATGGGTCTGAAAGGTTACTTTACAGATTAAACATGTTCATACTCTTTCGTCCAAGTATATGATTTTGAATGTTTATTTGATTACCATTGCAGGTTTAAAAAATGTCGTCATACTTTTAAGTAGGGCTAAAACATTCAACCTACCTTGTTCACACTGACAAAATGCACACACTCCAGCCAGGTGGTGAGGAAGGGGTTCAGGCAGAGCGCACAGCAGCTGCCATTGGCCAACAGTTCAGGCAGGGGAGGATAGTAGGGAAGCATCCTGTGGACCAGAGAGGACATGTCCCTGTCCTGCTGCAAGACAAACCTAGCAGCTAGTTCCTGGGAAACAAAGAGTTAGCATTGTCATCATAATCAGTGTTGAAAAAAAAATGTTTAATTGAATTGTGACCGCAAGAAACGAAATTGAATTGTAAGTTAACAAAACATTCACACGTCTACTAAATACAAGTGTTTCATCTGCTGTAATTCAGTGAGACTTTACCTTTAACATAAGCACCTCCACATCCTGCACTGATGACATCGGCTCACAGCGCACAAACCTGTTGTCCTCATGGTACAGCTCCTTCAGCGGCAGACTGTCAAACTACACAGAGCAATGTCCTGTGTTATTCAGTGAAGCTGGGATGTGTTTTAGATTTCATTACACAGCATTGCTCTGCTGAATTAGCTAACACAGTATACTGCACCTCAACAGGGAACATAGACAACTTGTTCCCAGCTACATCCAGAACTTGGAGTTTTGTCAGTGCCTTGATTCCCTGTGAAAGGTAAGGTAGAGTTTGGTTATGTAGCTGACACACTGTACAGTCAAAAGTACAGCGAGTATAGTATAAGAAAGTAGAAATGACACCAGCAGACACCCACCTCTGGTAGGCTGGTCAGCTTGTTTCTGGCTACATGCAACTTGGTTAGTTCTTTACACTGGTACAGCTGCACTGGGAGCGAGGGTAAATGATTGGAAGTGAAGTTTATCTCAGTCAAACTGGTGAGATGACCCAGCTCAGCAGGGACCTCTTCCAGCTTATTGTCCAGCACACTGAGGTGTCGAAGCCTGGTTAAACTAATGGGACAGACAGGTTTGCATTTACATTACAGTAAGTAAAACATTATGATGGATTATTATGGATTTAGCAACACAGCAGTTTACGAAGTGAATACATTTAGCGCCACCTTCACAAGCCACAACATTAACCCTCCAGTTGTGTTCGTCCCCCCCCCCCCCTTACTTTGGTGTTCGCGGTCAAATTTGACCGGTTCTGTTTTAACTGCTATTACATTAACACAAAAACCATGAATCATCACCACATTTCATTTAACACCCTTTCAAACTGTACATATTGTATCAGACCACTGGTATACATGAACAACTGAACATGTATTGCGTGTGCCAGGTGTGATCCATCTGGGGGGATGGGCACATAAAGGCGGGGTGTGTGTGTGTGTGTGTGTGTGTGTGTGTGTGTGTGTGTGTGTGTGTGTGTGTGTGTGTGTGTGTGTGTGTGTGTGTGTGTGTGTGTGTGTGTGTGTGTGTGTGTGTGTGTGTGTGTTCCAAATGGTTACTAATTCCTTTTCTTTATGGCCAGGAACACCATGGGTGTTACAAAGTTGACTAAATCATCCAACATTCAATGAAGGTGGTGATCAGCAATGTTATATGTTCAAATGTCTACTGTGAAGGATATCATAAAGCCTTAATGCAATCGAATGTAAAACGTTATGATTGATGAAAGTCGTAAATCGGGCAGATTTGACCCGAACACAACAGGAGGGTTAAAGTGATGAACATAGTATCAATGCATCAATAATAATAATCCTATATTTTGATAGGCAGACTCTGCATAATGACTATGTTTGCTTCTTAATGATGTTAATGCTTATATGATTGCCTTAGTAAGATGTTTACTGACATTTGTGCTACTTGTAGTTGTACTGTAGATATTACGACTTGTCCTATCTTATTAAGTCAAGTTTCTGAGTACTTCTTTCATCACTGACATGCAGAATCACACTTTTTAAAGCATAAATGGTGTTCAGAACCTATAATTGCAGGTGTGAAGATGTTGGAGACTAGGGTGCCATTAAATGACCTTTTAATCTCAGGTGGAAGTCTTCGAATATGGTTGTGATTCAGATTCAGCACAACAAGGTTTTGTAAGCCATCTGTAAAATATAAAATACGACAACGATCATACTTGTTTTTCTTTACAAAACTTGCAAGGTGCTAATCATGCAGAACAGTGAGAAACTACCTATCACATCAGGTGGCACTGCTGTAATTTGGTTGCTGAACAGATACAGTTTCTTCAAAGACTCCAGATGGCCCAAAACAGCAGGAAGCTCCTTCAAGGCATTATTCCCCAAATTCAGCTCCACCAGCTTGCAGGCATTCGCAAAACGAAAAGTATTTACACAAATCTGCGTGCTGAGTAAAACATTGGAAGAGACAGAGTTGTGTTGGAACAGCAAACAAACGTAGCAGACTCACGTGATGCAGATAGAGCAGCTCATTGGGCAGCGCGCTGATGGAGTTGTTCTTCAACAGGAGCACCGACAGGTTGGGTAATCTTGAAACACACTCGGGAACCACGTTTATTTTCTTTGAACTCAAATTTAAAGATTTCGCTTTGCCGTATAAAGCTCTTACCACTGACTCGGTCATTTTAGGGAAATCTTCGTCCAGCACTCATTCAGGTCTCCATGGCGACACAATGCTTTTTGTCACGTCGGTGACGTTTTGCATCAGCGCGCGAAAGAAGTACTTGAGTGAAAGTAGCAATAATAGTATACAAAAATACTTTGTTACTAGTAAAGGTCATGCATTCAAAATTGTACTCAATAAAGGTCTTAATAAAGTCTAAGGATATACTTAAAGTACCAAATGTAGAAAAAGTACACTATTGGCTACCAACATTTAGTGGAGTAGAGCCGACGTATAAAGTAGCATAAAGTGAAAATACTCATGTAAAGTACAAGTACCTCAAAATTGAGTTGAGTACTTTCTTACTATCCACCACTGATGATAGCCTTCCTCTGCCATTTATTTATAATGCCAATGTATGACATTAGGTGTTTTTTATTAGTATAACTTATTTTAAACGTTGCCTTGTTTAAACTGCTCTTTAAGAAAACAGCTAGCCTACATGTATTTGCATGACAATTATAGTTATTGTAAGGTAATACTCTTTATTTCATATGGATATGGAAAATATTATATTTCCAAATGCAAATGAACTAAAGAAGGGAACCACACATAACAGTCCAAAATAGAAATCACACTTAATTGACCAATTAAATGTAATGAAAGCATTAAAAAAACAGTACTTTTAAAGCCTAGTTATATCCCATGGTACCTTAATATGTATGTCCTGTCTTTTCTGTAAAGATGTAACTAAAAATGTATGTTATGTTTGCTGGCCATTTGAAGGCTTAACTATGCTACAATTTATATTTTTTTAGAAGAGTAGCAGCCTCTAGTGGTGACAGCCTAGAATTGCAGGATTTGTCCAAATAATGTCCAAAGTTACATTTCAAGTAGAAATGCTTCCTTATGAAGTCCATTACATACAAGCACTGAAGTATTATGAGCAAAACGAGCTTCAAGTATTAAAAGTCCTCATTGTGTAGAAAAGATTCAACTTCAACTGTAATATTGTCTGTGAAGTAACTCGATTATAAAAGCATGAGAATCGTTTCATTTTTTAGATAAAGCTAGTTTTAAGTACTTTGGTTACTTTTTGACTGTTCTTCTTTATATTAGATGTTCTTCTCTGTAGTCTGTTCTTCATGTATGCTTTGTATATGAAATGTAATCCAATTAAAAGTAACTACAGCTGTCAAACTTAATTAGGTAAATAAATAGTACAACATTTCCACATATAATGAAGAAGAGTATGACGTAACAAACTACTTTAGAAATACTCAAAGTACAGTACGAAAGTGAATATAGTTACTTTTTACCACCGGCATTTCCAACATTATTTAATGACAAATTGCAAAATAATGTTTTGTGTTTCATTAGAGCTACAGTATGTTCTGTAGGCCTTTGGTATATGTGTACCGTTTACAATACGCAGACATTGCCTGTGGGTATTGTCCACAGTATATGACCATTACATGTATGATCTGTATGTGTAATGTGTATTTGTAAAGCGCTTTGAGAGTCTTTGATAAAGCGCTATAATAAATATAAGGATTATTATTATATTATTATTACCCTGAGTGAGACAATATCTGCTTTAAAAGTGATAGCTTGTTTGAGGTTCATGCAAGTATTTCATCATTTTCAACAGATAACTTTTGCTTCACACATGCCCAGAATGAATAAATGTGTGCATGCCTCCTGCTGGTCACTGCAGGTTAAAATGGCTGTTTCACAGTCATGTTGAAAACAGTATTTATGATAATATCTTCCTCATCAGAAATATTAAAAACAAAGCAGTTGAATACCTTATTAGTATTTTATGAGTTTATGTAACATTGATAAGATTCACAAGTTCCACAATTCAGTTCAGTTTGTCAACCCCACACTGACTGTTCAAATGAATGATAAATAGCTCTTACATCCTCTCCTAACTATTATGGTACAACTTTGCTTCCCAAAACGTCGTTAATTCACATGAATTTCCCTTTTATGCTTTTTTTCTTACGCACAGTGATACTGTCTACAGAAATATATATCACTCTCCCCGCTGATATATTTTTACTTCTAAGACCTACCACTGTATGTTGGAAACAACCAGCTTCTCCGTTAACCTCAGCTTAACAATGTCTTAAATGAGGGGGGGGGGGGTCTCCTTCGAAATACGATTGTATTTAGGGTCCCTTGGTGTGAGTGGTTTGAACACACTCTGAATCACACACATTGGTTTAAGTCACACCAAGACTGGGTTGTCTCTCAGCTGTCCTCTGCATTAGCGGGATCCTTTAGCTGCTCCACAGAGTTGTAGTGCTCTCCTAGTCCATAGGCGTGACGCATATATCTGCAAAAAATAAGAAAATATATTCTGTGAGTCAAGAGATCTGATATAAATATTTCTAAATTCTGAAAAGCTTTATTAAAATGTGTCATTTAATATGGTCAGTATATTCATTACATGTTTGTTAAACTAGTTTGTCTCTACACCTGCTTTAGTGTGTTTTGTGATAGACATAATGTAATCAGTTTTCAAAAATGTCTAACTTGAGATGACACGAGGGTCCAAAACTCTTATTATGTTCCTCCAATATACTTGTTTCTACTAATTTAACTGTATTTGTTATGCAAACTGAATCTTTGACAAAAAAAAAAACACAATATACACAACGTACATTAGGGTGACGGGTTCACTATCAAATTCCTCCCCGATTTTTATAGGTGGGGAGTCAGCCTGGATCACTTCCATTGGCAAGAGAAGAACTTGGGTCAAAGCTCGCAACTATTGGGAAAAAATAAAATAATTATTTAAAAATACAACGAGCAAAAGCACAGTGCGTCTGTGACAAAACGTCAACAACTCACTTCCAGTTGTCCACCCCAAGCTGCTGTGTGCTCCACGTCACTGCAGTACTTCTCAAACTCATCTGGAGACCAAAAACACTGCATGAATACTGGGCATACACATAATTCCTTTCTAAAATATATGTATGGCTACCATTGTTGGTCTTTAAATGAATAGTTTAGATGTTTAGAAGTGGGGTTGTATGAGGTATTGATCTGTGTACAGGCACAGAAGAAAAGTAAATTGCTACGCTGGACAGAGATGTCACCAAAACATATTTTAGCCAGCAAAATAAATCTATAACAGTATGCTTTATTTAAAATATTTTCCTTGCTGTGACACAGCTTTACATTCTTTGTTTCTAACAGGGAACTGAAGTCGTTATCTATGCTCTTGGCAAGACAACCAGGCTCCGTTGAAAGAAACTAATACAATTCACCTCGCAGAACATGAGGGTTGCAGGACTGATCAGTTAGTTTGTTTGTGTAATTATGTTATTTTGATAAGGCTTTCTTTCAGGTCACTAAAACGTGTTTTCAGCTGCCCTAATCAACAGCAGCACTTCTTTACTTCAGTATCGTACGTGCAGACCATTATCGATACATTGACTACAGATTAATACCTCATACCACTTCGCAAAATCCAAACCAACCCATTAAAATATTCTTTAAAATACAAGAGATAGTTCCTGATTACTAATACAAAGATAAGAGTGTTACCTGTTGTGTACATGTCCCCCGTGTTGGAGTTGGTGAGGAAAGGCAGGAAGTCATCAGCATGGCCCCTCATGAACTCAGCAGTGCGAGACCGCAGTTCTTTCATACTCATGGTTATCTCAGGCTAAAATTAAACAGAATAAAATATGTACTTTGTGTATGAGCTTTGGTAATAACCAGGGGTGCACATAACTTTTTTGCCCTGGTTCTCAAAGGAGCACCTGGAGATGTTGCTTGGGGCTCATCCTTAAAATGAAATAAAGCGTAACTTTTGAGGGGGTCTTTATTTGCCAGACACACGGCACTGAACACACATGCAGAGGTGAACACAGAACACACATGCAGAGGTGAACACAAGACAACATTAGCACGACCAGTAATCCTACAAGCTGTCATCACTACCCTCTTGACTGTTCTCCTCACTGTCTTCCTCTCTGTCAGACATGGTAGCTGATGATGTAGGCCTACTTCTTCCTCTCTGGTTGAGTCTGCGATTAGATGCTTGCATCCACAGCTGGTTTTGGGTCGAAAGTCTCTGTTGTCATCTTAGACAAGTGGATGTAATCAAATAAGTATGTGAACATAACCAATAACCTACCATAGCCAATAACAAATGAATGTAACTTATTTTATTTGTGTTGTTCATTCATATCTTATTTTACCTTAACATTTATTTATTTATGCTTCTTTTTTTTTTATCTCTCCAGTTTTAAAGGATATTTTTGGTTACTGTCCTATAGTATACATTGGAATGATTTAAAACCTGTTTATCCCAATAATTATAAAGCAGTGCCTTGGAAATATTTGTTTACATAAATTGTGACCAAACCGTTTGAACTTAGACTAAAGTGAACTATCTAAACACTCGAGTCCTTTACCTCACTGAGCTGTAGTTATCAGTCTGACTGGAGAGGACTCTCCCTCCACATTATTGTAGAAACATCTTCTTCTTATCTCCGTTAGAGCAGCTAGCACGGCACCAGATTCTAATAACAACAGCGCTGGTACTGGTGCACCCTCCCTCTCTCCCTCGCATTTTGGCTGTGAGCTGCGGGCGCCAGATAAGCCAACATCCCCCATTTTCATCACTTACAGCGCCCATCGTACAGGGCAAATGAAACGTGTAACCGGGGTGAAAAGGGTGTTACATTTACTTAATTATGAATGTTGTTACATCAAGGCCGAAAATTAGGATGAGCCCCAACGGTCAAAATGTTTTTTTCCCTCCCAGAACTGCCAGCGCAGCGCCTCCCCAGATCTGGCGCCCTAGGCGAACATCTATTACGCCAGTGCTACGGGCCGGCCCTGAGTTCATATCATGGTTCATATGCAACTCGCAAATATCTTTCTCTCTCTCTCTCTCTTCTCTCTCTCTCATCTCTCATCTCTCCTCTATTTTCTCTTCTCCCTTCTCTCTCTCCCTCTCTCAATGTTGGTACGCAAATGCGCTTTGTTTCAAATGACCC